GTTCATAGCGAAGTGAGGTGGGGCTCCATCTTGCTGAAAAAAAAGCTCAATTTCTTCAAGTAAAGGATTTCCATCTTGATCCCGCTGATTTTTAACTTCAACCGTTATCAAGGGATCTATGATATCCTCCAGCAGCTCTAAATATACCTCGCCAGTCAAAGTCTCAATAATGAAAATCGGACCGACTACCGCATCGCCTAGTATTCCTGCCCATACACTTAATTTCTGAGGAGCTTGAGTATGCCCCTTTCTAAAAATGTGAGGATTCTCATCACTCCAATATCGGACATTCTGTTTATTGACTGCGCCATGCAGATAAAAACTACATTTGTCACTAAAGCAAATGTTTTTTATGAGGTTTGGGTTTGCGTTTATTATTTCCGTCATAATTTAGCAAAACTGTAATCTCCTATCAGGATCATCGTCCACAAGCTACTGAAGTATCTTCATTTTATAGGGATGGAATTTAAAAAGTTTTGTCACTTTGCGTACCGATGAATACGAAAGTCCAGTGATCGTAGCAATCTGACGCAAAGAACTGGTTGGATCGAAAGTAAAGTTCTCATCACTTCAATCTGAGCCATTTCATTAACTATTCTGTTACCTTCTCTCTTCATAATTTTTACCAATCCTGTTGCTTGAAAATTCCGCACAAGTTGCGTGACATATTTGTGCTCCATTCGCTTATCTGGATGTCTCGCATTAAAAACTAGCAGTGGCGCGGGCACAATTCTGCTCCTCACCATAAATGAAAATAACTTCTACCCGCTCGGCAATAGTATAAACCATTTTACAGGTAATAAATCAATTGACATACCAACTGACTGCAAACTACTTGGATTAAATCTAATTCGTCAAAACGAATTGTAAAGATGCAAAACTGAAGCAAAAAATTTAAGTGAATTTACGACAGGAGATAAATTGTTGAATGAGGAAGAATTCCTATTATTCTCAACGGTGGTCATTTTATGAATTTATTATGATGTATGTAATTTAAGACTATTTATTGCAATTTGTCTTTTTTCTTGAACCACCCTGTACAAAACGAAATAATTCATACATGGTCGTATGGTAAATGCAAAAACCTTTCCAACGAGGGGTCACTCGGCTCCCCTTGCTACTAAAGGTTTTTGTGGTGGGGCCATGGGGTTGATCCGACAAAATCAGTTGTGATCTAGAAATGTGTCCCCCTAAGGATAAAAATTGACCTGTTTTTGGATTTTACCTGAATCAAGACGAGAACGAAGTTATCGAGGGTGGATCCTTTTCAAAAAATCACCCAGTTTATACATTCTTATATTGCTGTGTAAGTTGATTTATTAGCTCTTAACCCATGTTGCCTCTCGGAAATTATTTTAAAATTTTTGAGATACTTTACTAGTCTTATGGAAAATGCTGCTTCAAAAAGTTTAGCTGTTTAACCCTGTATACATATAAAGCGGTAATTTTTAGGATCTGTACACGATCTGGATAGATTGGAATGCATTTAGATTATTTAAGATTCGGAAAAGTTCCAGTAGTGATAAGTTAATTAGGTAGACATATGTATTCAGCAACCGTAGCCAGAACTATGCCAATTATATTGTCTGTACCAGCGGAAGGTTAAGTAGTGGTTTTTTTAATAAAGTTATTACTTCTTCTGGGACTGGTGGTGTGAGAAAAAATCCGTTAGGAAAATTTACTGTCTGAATACAAGTTTCCCTCTGGTTATGGACAAGTATCAGCTAATCCTACAGAATAATTATTTAATACATTACTTTATTCTAGAGGATTTGTTATTTTGTTTCCACTAATTTCTAGTTTGGTTACAGAGGAACTAAAGTGTAGCGCACCTATTTCATTTTTGATTATTTTTCAGCCATCTTTCATAACATTTACAGAATTTTTTTATTATTTCATCATTTTTATTCTTCTGGTAATATTTGGTAAATTCTTTGTACCTAGAAGTATAGAATGGGCTGTTTAGTCATTTTTCAATTTTCCTCATTTCACATAACTGGTCATGCATACTTTTTATTCTAGGGTCATACCATTTTTTTCTTTATATTTGTGTTATGGTTTTTCTCATAGGAAAAGAAAAATTGTAATGGTATAAAAATGTATCATAAAACAAACTAAATTTATCATTGAATGTTGATGTTGATTCATACAATCCATCTCATTTTTCATTTCTTATTAGATGGTAGAATGTTTGAGTATTTCCGTCACTATAGTTTCTTTTATATGTAAATTTTTGATCATGTTCTCCCATTTGGTATCCTTTAAATTCTACCACCTGATAAGTATGGTCAAAGAGAAAAGAGTCACGTACTTTAATTATTTCTGTTTTATGATTTGAAAATATTTTATCTATACAAGTTTGGCTAGAATTTGTTACTTTTGTAGACTCATTTATATGATGTTTGATATTTAATTCTAAAAATAAATTAATCAATTCATCCATGGTTCTGCTTTCTATTAAAAATCTAGGTGACTATCCCCACATAGGATATATTTGTCTTTATCATTAAAGTATTTATGCAAAACTATATATAAAAACTACACATGAAAGTATCAATATAGTTACCTGTCCTATATACACATATAATGTAAGTAAAATATTTAGCCACTGGATCTTTTAGTTTTGACAGACACACTTCGAAAGCTTGTTCTCTAGAGGGAGAAAACGAAATTAATTATATTTAGGGCTGATATTTTTACCTCTGGATAAAATAACATGAATGTTTACTTGACAGATAACGACCACTTACCCCTCTAGTTTAATCAGCAAGTATTTACTTTCAACTTTACTCAGAGGTGAAACACGCCATAATTGTTATTAAAAAAAATGTATGTAACACAAATGATGTTCATTCTTTAGCAAAATGTTAGGCAGGCGAATGCGAATGGACTTAGTATCTGTGGCCAAGAGAGACCTAAATCTAATCACACACACACAATTCTTATTTATTAAGAGGAGCATTTACTTGGCTTTAGAGCAGATCATGCAAGGGTTTGGTAGTACCACACTCTTAAAGTTTATTTTGGGCTTATTCTGATAGAAAAAGATTTGTGCGTGCAGGTGAAGGTTAAATCTGTGCTCCTCTGGAAATACTTTTTCAAAATTCCTATACATAGGAAAGTGTGGAATAGATTCGTAGAACTCGAGAATCGACACCCAGGGTATTGCAAGAACGACCATTAAATTCGTAATGACTCATTAAACTCTAATCTACCATTAAATGTGTAGTATTCTACTTTCAATAAATATTAACGATAGATAAGTAAATTATTAATAAATACATAATAATACACGTGTAAAATTTTAATTTGTTAAATTTTGTTTTATTAAAAAAAAGAAGAATGAACAGCGGAAAGAGTTAGATTTAGCTTACTAAAATGTGCTTTTCCATAGTGACAATGGGAAAAAGAAAATGTAAAGTACAAGAAAAATAATTTTAATTTATACAAAACGGACAAAATATACTTGAATACTGTTGCATTAAACTAATTGTTACACAAATCACAGATTTTAAATTAAGCACCTAAAGGGCCTTTAAATGAGTATTAAAAATTTGTTTAAAAAATACGAACCTTGTCAAGTTTCCTCTTTTTCAAGTGCTTCATTAAAACCTTTACTTCATTTAAGCTATTCTACGTACCTACTTATTTCAAGAAAGTATATTCATGTGTAAAATATTTTTTCTGTAAACCGAATGTCTTTGCTTCTGTCTGTTACAAAATATCAGCTGATGTCAAAAAAAAGATAGGAATAGTGTTAAAATTAATGTTTGAAGGCAATATAGGTATAAATAATAAAAATTAAATCTGTTTACTGTGTAGGTATAATAATGTTTAGGAGTAATTCCTTATATTGAGGACAAGATCCATTGAAACACCTGGCATTATATTGAGTGAGGATGCCTAATCTATTTTTTTATCGTAGTAGTAAAGGTTGAGCCACAATTTTATATTTTACTTTATATATAATTAATTTTTGTAAAAATGCAACCAAATAAACTTCATTAACATACATTTTATTAACAATCACCTGTGATCAGCTGTGAAGCGACAGACTGCCATTTGGAAAAGTTATTATAAGCTTAATCATAATAATATGTATGGTTGGGTTGCATTCCGGTTGAAATCCGGTTCTGACAAATCGGACATATTGAGTCTATATTAGCCATATTGCGTCTACATTATCCATATTTAAAAAAGATGCTTATAGCCTCTCCTTATCTTCTTACTCCATGAGTTTTAATTAATTAAACATTTACGCATAGTGAGTTGTGAATAAATTATTAATAATTTACTTTGAACTTCATGCAATGACAATGATTTAGTAGTTAAAAATGTACTTATTTAAGAATACTGTCAAATATTATATTTAGGGTTCATGTACTATAGGTAAAATAGATAAAGAATTATTCATTTAGTAAAAAATATTTCTCACAAATTCAAATTTAAATTATTATTTGTATTTTTTACATTCATGTTTAGTTTATTTAAATATATCATTTCTAAAGAGGTATAAGTCGGGTTTCTTAATTAATTGATACTTTTATGGAAATTCGTTATACTTGCAAATACTATTAGTACAAAAGCACTTTTTTCTAACTTTGACACCCTATATTTCAAAAACTGTGCATTTTAGAAGATGCGTTTATTTATTTTTTTATATTTTTAGGTGTACTATCTCCCCTAGAAGTTTAGTTTGTCAATTCAGGAACATTTTACAGTAACCTATTTATAAATTATTAATATTTGCTTCTTTTTTTAATGTCTTCAATTTAAAGTATTTCGCGTCCTTTAATTCACCTACTTTTTTAAAGACACTTTCTATTTTTCCATTCATAAATGTTTCTGACCAAAAACAAATTCAATCGCCTAATACTACTGCCCTACTACCCAAGCATATGCACACGTATATTCAAATCAATATCCGCCCATAAATCTATATATCGAATCTTAATACAACAATCAATTTTATTCTTGATTAGTACTTCAAATAGTACCACAATGAATAGAATCGGTACTGTATCAGTTTTGATACTTTTTGCGTTGACTGTCAGTATAAAATGTGAACAATCTGTTGTCGATGTTGCGCAGGACATTTACAGGACCTGTTTGCAGGAATTCAGTTTTTCTTGTGTGAAACCTAAGGCCAATCGATGGGTAGATGAAATTTCCCGAAAAAGATTTATTAAAATTACAGAAGATTTGGGTCTTAGGAGAAAAATTGACAGCGAAAATGAGGTAAAGTTTATAAACCTAAATATATACAGGGTGTTAAATAATGTCACGGCAGTATTAAAGGAGGGTAATTCATTGTGCTCTAAGAGTTATTTAATACAACTCATGCCCAAAAGCATGTTCACATACGTATGTCATATAAAATTGTATCTTCAAAGAATCTGTAATTCATAGATAGAAAAGTATATGAGTAACTAATTATATTGTCTAACGCATGCTCTGAAACTAAAGTTTTTGGTCCTTCCTGTGCACTTAGAACCACATTAAGTTTATTTTCTTCATCAGTGTCTATCCTGTTTAGCTCAGATTTAGAAATCAGAGAAATATTGTCAGGAAATGTTTCAACTGTGTAGATAGTTATTCACTAATTATACAAAACAACGTTTACCTTTCTGTTTTATTATTTTCTTATAATAAGGTAAGTCACAGACCACCCGAACCCCATATTGATAAATTCAGAAAGAAAAAATGTAAATATATTTAAAATTTCAACCGATGACGTCATATCTGGATAAATATGATGACGAAAATCCACAAGCGTCATTGAATAGTGCATAAAATCTATGCACAAATTTATAGAATTTAATTTTCAGTATAGTCCATAATTGAGCCACAAATCAAGTGTTTTGCCCAACTTTGTATGTTAAAATTGCAATGTATATTTCAAAAGTGAGTTTAATCTATTATCCCAACAACTGTAAACCTTTAAACTACAAAATTTCTTCTGTTATCTTTTTAATAACAATAATTGTGAGATAATAGAGCAGTATTAGAAGCATTTACCATATCTGTAGTTTTGTTTTTAAATCCTTAAATCTATGCGCACGTTTATGTCTATGGTAATGCATAAAACTAAATCAGACTGACTTAATGAACTTTTAGTTTTATTTCATCTTGCTATATGTAGAAACTAGTACCTATCTTGTATATTTAATATTTTAAGGTGGAAAGAGGACACCAGAAAGATATCATCGACAGATTTGAAGACTTCTTACAATCTCACGAAATTGTAGCCAAGTTACCTGCAATACTACGTCCTAATGGTCCATTAGGTCAATATATTCCCAGAAACTTTGAAGCTAAAGACATAGCTGTACCTTTAGCAGCTACAGGTACATTTTAATATTTTATAAATTGTTTTTTCTTTTGTAAATATTTATTTTTTTAGGTCGATCATCCAAACTTATCAAACGAGTTATATTCCCATTTTTGTTGGGGTTGAAATTCAAGACCGCAATCATCGTTCCTCTTGCCTTAGCGCTGATAGCTCTAAAAACTTGGAAGGCTTTAACGTTGGGACTGCTGTCGCTTGTACTGACTGGAGCGATTGCTATATTTTCAAAACTTATGGGACCCAAAGTAAGAAATTAGTTACAATATCTACTTTTAATATAATAATGTTTTTATATTTTATCCAGTGATATTTAATTATGTTATTAAATATCCTTTGGTTTGTTCGATGTTTTTTTTAAAGGTATAGAAATTTAAAATAAAATAGAACATCAAAATCATGGATATTGGATTTATTGAAAAAATATTTTCGCAGTTGGATGACTTAAGTAAAATGCAATCTGGAAAACCAATTTAGATCACTCTTTCGATCAGCTGAGACTGCATATCAACAATAACTCGGCTATTGTCTTAAATGTCATCTTTTATCTGTAGTTTGTTCACGTAAACTAGTGACTTCACATATCCACATAGAAACTAACCCAAAGATGTTAGATCTAATGATCTTGGTGGCCAATTCGTGACATGCTGCCCTGTTTTGTTGAAACCACAGCTCTTTCACATTAATACCATTCAATAACAAAAATGTCAGTATTTATGGATGTATGGCGCTCTGTAATATTCTGGTAGGCATCATTTTTGAAGTAATTTAAACCGACGATTTCCCCCAGACCAAGCACACCAAACAGTAACGTTGTGGATGTTACGACGTGAATGTTATTCACTCCAAATAAGGTAATGAGCAAAAACACCTCATCATTGAACAAAACATGGTGAAAATAAGGATTAAGAACAATCTCGTCTTCGGCTCGTTTACCAAAGGTACGAAGTACACGAGGACACACGATTTGCAAGAACTACATTTTGTAAGCTTTTAAATCAATATCTTTTTCTTCAATACTATGCTCTCCAGCAGCAACAGCTTCATGAAAAAAGTAAATACCAAATTGACACAAATTCAGCTGGATACAGGGATGACAAATCGAAAAACAAATCTTCAAAATACACTCGTTGTTATTATTATGTTTAACTGCAGTAAAAAACTATAATTTGAATCTATTTTTTAGGCTCCCGCTTACGAAGTACTTCATTACCAACCACATGTGCAGTATCCACATTTAGATGTATTGCCAGCTCCTCTGGCACCAGTTGCGCATCCTGTATATCTCGGAAGGAGTTTGGATGGACAGGAGTTGGCGTATGGCTCATATTTGAAATAAAGAATGAAGTGGTTATAAATAATTTAATTTATTTATTTATTTTAGTTTTTAATAAAATAAAAAGACATGATTATTATTTGTAGTTTTTTATTTGAAAATATGACACTGAAATCTGTATGACAATGCAATATTTTCAATTTGCTACTTTGGTTTTTTAACCTACTCATTATTTTACCTGTTACTCTCTATTTTCTTTTGTAATTCCTTCAATTATTTTGAAATAACTTCCTTTCCTTTACTTATTTTTCAAAATATAACTTGTAAGGTGGTATATTGTGATATATGATTTTATTGGCAACGTCTTTATAACAAAAATTATCCTAGAATTTTAGATACCACCAAGTTTTCCAATGACTTACATCCTTATCTTGACGCTAAAATATCTACAGAAGAATATTATACAGTAATAAATTCTTGCAAAAATGACAAGAAAATTCAATATATATACCCAAGTTTAATAATATAAATAAATTGTTAGGTGTTGACATGGGGGTCAACTTCTTCACACAACTAAATCATTTAGTATATTAACTATTAGATTCCCCAACTAATAACAATAATCTAGTATCACTGGGAATAATATTCACAACTAAAACGCTATATTGGCTTAAAAATAATTAAATGGGACTAGGGGTAATCTTAAAAATATAACACATGAGGTGTGTACTATATTTATCAATATAAGTAAATAATCTTGATCTATTTGCGGTCGCTAGGGGTAAAACAAGTAAAACTCTAATACTTACTAAAAATATTAGTTACCCATAAATAATATACCCCACAAAGAGCTCTTGGTGACGTTTTCGGGTTTATTAAAACGTACTGTAATTTATACACCCCTAAACCTCGTTTACATTAGGTTTAGATAAAGTTATGTACTAATACCCCCCAAATAAAATAGAATAAAATTAGTAATATAGTAATATAAAAATAAGTAGGCAAAAACTTGCGGTACACCGTGACTTCTTTCCAGCTAAGAAAACTCTAGTAGACGGTTGATGTCCTACTATCTCTGCTTCGTTAGCAGCATACAAATCGAACTGCCTGTCATAAAGCTTGCTAGCTCGTCACACGAAGTACTAGCTGATCACAAGAAGTACTAGCTGGTCACAAGAAATTCTAGCCAGTCACAAGAAGTACTAGGCCCGTCACAAGGAGTATAGGCCTGTCACAAGAAGTATTGGCTCGTCACAAGAAACCTAAAGAAAACGTGTAAGATAAAATACAGAAATAACTATTTATCCCTGGTTAACAAAGAAGTTAAAATTAAATAACCAGGTACCTACATAGCCTTCTCGTGAAGCGAGGTCTAGAAATAGGTAGTAACTACTCAACGTGTACTAGTTAAATTAAAGTTCGGCTTATAAATTTATGAGGTAATCTTCAGATTTACAAAGCAACAGGATAGACGGCTCGTGAAGCGAGTTCTACCCAACAATTACATTTAATAGGCAAATTACACCCTTAGATTTCAAGATACTACCCCTATTAAGGGGTACTGAAAATATATACAACGAAAAGAAATATAACTTAGGGTAAATAATCGTCTAGGTAAGCATGCTAACTAAAATCAAAACATATTTACCCCTTTAACAGGGGGCACACGAGGCACCAGATAAAATTGAACTACAAATTCGTGGACAGCTTATCCAGAAAAGAAAACATATGTATGTGGGTACTGAAATAAAAGACGAAGGCCGTACAAAAAGAACTACTACGTCGTAATCTAAATGCCGCATAAAAAACTCACCTATTGGAGATTCAGTACGTGGCTAAATATATCCTACTAAAAGAGCTCTTACAACAGGTGTTCACCAAAAATACAACCAAATCACACTGTTGTAACTTTCAACAAAAGGTTGTTTCGCAATATCCCAATTATGGATTGAAACGAGTTCCAATAAATTTCGAATCTACCTTTCTATCCACATGTCGAATGAATCTCCAAATTCCAAGAAAAAGGAAACCGACGTCACTTCAAAAACCAATAACACCAACATACCTTAGTGGCAGATAGGTGTCCCATCAGCGCCTTCTATTACGAAATAAATTCTTGACAGAAAGGGCTAAAATAACCAAACAGAGCCTCTAAAATGAAATAAATAGCCTAACTAAACTCAAATAGAGATCCTATCTACCCCAAACTGATCATATTTACCCCAAACTGATCACATATCCACAATTAACGTCAGGGTGGAAAAACTTGACCGACACCTTGAATACAGGGCAGTCACCTACTCGCCCAGAGTGTCGCAGAAAAATCCCTGAATCTATGGAAAAGGCCCGCGAAGAAATGCCTTCGACACTCAGCTGATGGAAATCCAGTCGCCTATCGTTTCAAAAGCACAGTGGTTTAAATGCGGGTATAGAAGGACCCATTTATTAATTACTGAACACGGACAAAAAGAAGCGTATTCCTATTTTAATGAAAAACCGCTATAAGGCCAAATCTAAACGTTACATCTCCTAGTACTAAGTGTATTTTATATGAGTATTTAAAATCTCACCAATACCTGGATACTATGTATTACACTCCTATTTAACAAAGTTTTTGATTCCGGCACCATGGCCAGAAAGTGGACAGAAATGTCACTTAAAAAAGGTGCTTTCGATGATCCTTTAAATAGTTTAAATTACCGGAATTGGCATTAATAAACTGTGTTGCTAAAATTTTCACATATATATTATTCTGGTTTGAAACTAGCAATATTCTGCAGAAAACACAAGCCGGATTCCAGCCTGGCTATTGGTGCATTGATTATGTGTATACGGTAACTAGTAATTTAAAATATTGGAATAAAAAAGCGGAAAATGTTTGTAATATTTGCTACTTTAAACGTGCTTTTGATTCCGTCAACCACTCCTTGGTCTAGCTCAAGCTATTTAAACTGGGTGTCAGTTCTAAAGTTATAACTCCCAGACAGCACAAAGACATCTTTAAGACGTCCATAAGATGTCTGTTAGAGACATGACAGATGTCTAAAAGATGTCTTTTGACGCCGGCCAGACGTCTTAGAGACATCTTTAAGACATCTGATGTTACAAAAGGTAACGTTCTTAAGACATCTTGAGTATGTCTGTTTTTCGACATTGGTAAGACGTACTTTCTGATTTAGTTTTAAAAGCTTCTGTAAATTCCTTCTATACAAAATAAAACACATATTTTTTATAAACATTATTATTAACAAAACACTGAAACATTTCGTTAAAAAAGTAATATTACAAATTATTTTTTTTTTGGATTCTTCCTCCGTTAGTGGTTATTCTTCTGTCTGATGCTCTTCTGAACCAGTCTGGGTTGCAATAATTTTAACTGCTCTGTGTGAAAAACTATGTATTATAGCTCACTCTGGGATTTTCAGTAGATAGTGTGGGTTAAGGGTGGGCAAAGAATGGCAATCTTCCTGTACTTTCAACTCTAATTCAGATATATTTACACCTGATGAAGCTTCTAAGTCAGCTCTAGACGCCTAGACGTACTTAAAATACTAATAAGGGTTCTTCTATTTGGTTTTTCAGTACATACAGTAACATTTTATGCTTATAAATTCACAGAAATCCACGGCACAAGACACAAATAAAAAAATCAACGAATAACGAACAAAAACTAACCTCTCGACTTTCATCTTCAATGACAACGAAATTAATTTATCTATGACGAAATGACAATGAAAGGACAACGCAGAACGCCACGGAACCCCAATAATACTCACATTCAGATACACGTCCTTGTTTAAATTCTACTGTTGAAAACAGACAAAGCATAATAAAAACATTCACTTCGATCGTTGAACCAAGTTCCGGTCAAGTTGAAAGAGCGCGTAATTCAATTTGTCTTATGTTTTAATTGTTAATTTTATTTAGAGTTATATTATTATTATTATTTTTATGTTATCAAATATTTACTTACTCTAATGAACAAATGCTCGTGAATAAATAAAAATAGGTAAATTATGTAAATTAATAAAAAAAAAAATAAATTTGTATTTTGTGAAATTAGAAACGACAAGTAAGCCAGTACTTTTTTAATGTTACCATTATTTTTTATATTTTTCAATAGATAGGCATTTAAAAGACGTCTTTAAGACGTCTATTTATGTTTCCTAAAAGACGTCTTTAAAACGTCTTCTTTGGGTCTTTAGGAGTTCAGTCATAACTACCACATAAAACAGACGTCTTTAAGATGTCGTGTGCTGTGTGGGTTGTAATACGTAAAATATATCAGAGTGCAGAATTCCGTATTAAATATTTTGATTTTCTAAATCTTTTGAGGCGGATCATTTAGTCCTGTACATTTTGCTCTATTTATTTTAGATATTGATATCTTCTTTATCACTTGAGGCGCTAACCCAGATAGCACAAATACGTCTTATGGACGTTCTAAAAACGTCCTGCTTGGACATTCAGGACATCCTTAAAATGTCCATATCACGGACATGGACGTCTTATGGACATCTTTGGAACGTCCATTGTTAATAATCAGGATGTCTTAAGCACGTTCATTTAAGGACATTCCATGAACATTTTTAAAATCTCAAATGGGGAATAATAGGATGTAAGGTAATTAGTGAAAATAATGAATAATTTAAAAAAATTTATTTGGAAGCAAATAACCTATAAATAATAAAATTACTAAAACTTTTTCGTCAAATTATCTCCTCTACTTTGCTCTTTTCAACCATGTCTGGATTAAAAGCAGTTTTTTTTTCTTCTTGATTTGGTCATATTTGCCTTCTCAGCTGAATCTGAAAATAATTTAATCGCTTATTCAAAATAAAAGGCATATCAATATTAAAATCCAATCTCTTTGTTTAAGTTTGCCTTGCTAGATATTATAAATTCACTAACCTTTTAACTTTGTAGTATTCACTGGAAAACTCTCCTCTACTTTGCTCTTTTCTTTCAACCATGCCTGGATTGGCAGCAGTCAGTTTTTTCTTGAATTGGCCATATTTGCCTTCTTAGCTGAATCTGTAAATAATTTAATCGCTTATTCAAAATAAAAGGCATATCAATATTAAAATCCAATCTGTTTAAGTTTGTCTTGCTAGACCTTATAAATTTACTAGCCTTTTAGCTTTGTAGTATTCACTGGAAAACTCCCCTACTGTGCTCTTTTCAACCATGCCTGGATTGATAGCAGAGTCAGTTTTTTCTTTCTAAATGTGATCTCTATCATAGATCTAAATAAATAAAAATAAAATGTCACTTGTCAACAATGTCCCGTGATCTTCTTCGTTTTTTTCTATTTGGCCTTCATTCAATTGGATATGAGGACATTGTCATGTTTAATAATTATTTATATTATCTCATTATGTATGTTTTTTATATAATATAAACCAAATAATAATACAATGCGAATGTGAATACATGAAAATATAGTAAAGAACGTAGAATTGACGTTCTGCAGATATTTATTTCTTGACGTCCCGAGGATTTACTAAACTGAACATACTTAAAACGTCCATAATTGACTTCGGAATACATATTAAATGAAAATAATTGTTTATATCGCTTGGTGCGCCTTTATTTTTATAGACAAAAAGTCCTTTAGATTGTTTTAAATTCGTAAACACTTCTAATTTAAAATACCTATTATTCAAATGGTAATAAAGTGCCATACTGTAGAGAAAATTTAAAAAGAAACTTTTTAAAGTTATTGCTCCATTGCATTGCATCTAATTGAACCCAATCTGTTTATTTGAAATTTACGAAATTTTAAGTAAGTATGTTTCAGATCACATATTTATTTTTCGTTCTTTCATTTCACTTATTATATATTTAAATATACCCAAAGAAAATAAATGAAAAGTAAACCAGCTAAGTTATACGTTCTCAATTTAAATAAGGAAAAGTGTCGCATTCCGATCAAAATTCTAGTCTGTTTCGCTATAACGCTACCAATTACAACGACGCCTCATAAATATTCAATCCGTAAGAAGATCTGATTCTCCATTCTTATACACGACGTTTTTCCTTATAAGTCCAGAATACCTTCTTTATATATGCATATAAAACCAAAGGGCAACTTTTTTAAACCACTCTTTAACTGTACTTCAACTATGGCGGTTACGAAAATTTACATAATTTTAATCCTATCCGCATCTGTTTATTCTTCACCGGTTTCTTCGGATAAAGAAGAAACTACCGATTTTGAAGATGATCCTTTTGGTTACGTTCAAGATACTGTCGCAGAATTCATTGACAGCTTCCTAGAACAAGATAATTTTCAAGTAAATCCATACACAAAATCGAGATTATTTTATTAAATAATAATTTTTTAGATATCTGAAGATGTGGATGTAAACCGAAACAGTTTAAAAGAGGACGAAACTGAAGGCAGGAGCGTAAATTATGAAGATAAAATTGAACGATACATCAAGACTCATGATGTTACTTTTAATGTACCTTTTATTGGAAAGGTAACACTTGAAAACAGTAATTTAGATGATGAAGAAGTTGGACTGAATATAAAATTTGGTGAAGATGGTGTAGAAGAAGGTATGTACTTTAAATAAAAGAAATTAAATCTAAGGTCCCGAAATGTTTCTTTCTATAGTCTAGATTCTTTGTGCTTTTGGGTTTTTATTATATTTTTTTTTTGTTTGTTCCAATTTCTCCGTCGGCCTGTGTTATAATATGTACGTAATATAAATTCATCTTGACCTAAAATATATATTGTCTCTAATTCCTTCCAGTCCTAACTTCTCAAGAAAATATAGGGTTTGGATTGACTGCAAGTTACGTAGATCAACGAATTATATTTGGTATACTCCTTAGTATATTTCCCTTGGATTTATTCAGGCTTTAAATAGAGATTTCGTCCTCCTAACAAAATCTGGACTCACTATCTCCTATCAGTCCCACTTTACGAAAATGTTCTTGAGTTGGAAATGCCAGGTATAGATGTCTGTTCTTCTTCAGAAAGATACATACCTACGTATTGTTTCTGGTTATAGTCACTCAGAAGTATCCTATTCTTTCTTAGTTCCAAGAATTCGTACTAATTAGCAGTTTTTATAATGTCAAATTCTTTATTAATTTCTCCAACCATTGTGTTTAAGAGTTTTTGAGCCCTTTTCTTAACAATCCCGTTGCCGTTTATCTCATTATGTCCCAGGATCAAAGTGAGAGTAATTGTATTATCCTCCCTCAGATTTTTTAGTTTTTCCAAGCATCTCCAGACCATTTTAAACTGATTACGTAAGAGCTCAGAGCTTTAGAAGCTGCTTGTTTTTTGGACTTATTGATAAGCTCTTATCTCCGAAAGTTTATTTTGATATTAAAGTGGGTAAAGTTCTTACTGGCATGAATTTCAAATAAAAGATGCTTGGGTATTTACCCAAACTTTTAGAATACCTGGTTTTAGGCCTGTACACTCCTAATTTAGTTTCTTTTGTGGTTTTGAAACCATCCGTATATCACTGAATTGCATATCTTTCAGTTTTAAACACGACTGCGTTTTTTTTTTGCAGCCTAGTTCGGTAATTTAAAAACTTTTCATTGGACTTCTTTCTCATTTATTCCTGTGACATATCCAACGTATCTTTGGTCCTGGAGCTAATAGAAATCCTTTTGATTACTCTGTTTTTGATCATTCTATATCTTGTCCTTTTTGCCACTTTCTATATCATTAAATGTAGAGGGGTAAGGTTTAGGTTCACCTTCTTTGCTGCCCTAGGACAGGTCTCAATTGCATCGGTAATGCAAGGGTTACATCTTCATTAGTGCTTTCGTGACCTTCTCTATGTTGCACAGTACTATGACATAAGCCCAAGACAAAATTGAACAGCATATTTAAAAACAAATATCTTGAAGTTATTGACATTTTGATATCATTAACATTGTTCTTGTATTCTTGTAATTATTTTTATGCTGTACTTAATTCATATATCTTTTTTCTTATGTTCCATTTCTTGAGAAGACACAAGTATTTATATCTTTCACTTAGGTTTTATTTTTTTAGATCTTCAACCCTTTGCTGATACCATAGCCATTTTTTTTTCTAATATTTGTGTATTATTTGCTTCTGCTTTAATTTTATTTGTTTTTGGCTTACTTTCATCTTGTACTAACTAATCAATAACTGTATTATTACATTACGACTAAAAATTTCTTATATTTCAGCTAGAAAATCAAAACTAAAGAAAATCCTAACTCCAATCTTGGTATTCGTTCTTTTGAAAGCAATTACGATAGTACCTTTAGTTATTGGTGTTCTTCTTCTCAAAGCGTGGAGCTCGTTACAACTTTCTGTTTTCTCTTTCATAATATCCTCTGGTTTGGCAATCTTCCAGTTGTGTAGGAAAATTGCGGAAAACAACGCTCAAGCTCAGATAGCGGCGCATGGGCCTTGGGAAGGTCAGGCGTTGGCAAAGCAGGGAAGGTCTTTGGAGTTAGAAGATACTGATGAAGCACAGAATTTGGCTTATGCAGCTTATAGAAAGTGAAATAATTTATTTTGTTTTTTAGATTCTAGTCATGAATAAAAAAACTTTATTTATTAGGTTATTGTTTTTTTTTTTATTATTATTATATTAATAACGCAAAAAGTGTCAAAACACATTGGTACAGGTCCTTTTTTGATTGCATTGTCATAAATCAATCGATTTTTTTGACAGCTTCCAAATATTTGACATTTTTTAAATATTCCAAATTGATTTACTATGTACACGGTGGGGGTAACAATGATTCGCCATTAGGTACACAGTGAATCTTGTTTTAAATGAGTGAAAATTTATAATACACCTTTTAAATAAAAATAGGTAATGCAGAAAAAGTAGAAAACTTTATTATTTAGTATTCATAATCATTAAATAGACTCATTAAAAAATAAAAATTAATTCTAGTCACAACCATTAAACGGACTCATTAAAAAATAAAAATAAATTCTAGTCAGAACCATTAAACAGACTCATTAAAAAATAAAAATAAATTCTAGTCACAACCATTAAACAAACTACATTAATTGTGCGGTAAACATATCTTTAACGAATATTTAACAGCAAATCGTAAGTAAGACTGCTGCCGTATGGTACTACTATAAAGACGAGGTTTGGATAAAATTATTTTTATATCATGATTGAAAGATCGAAAATAGTTGAGAAGTACAATGAGTCGACCGAATTACTTTTGAACCTCAAGAAGCTGGCGTAATATTCGTCATTTTTGTTTTTTGGTTGTAGAATTTTTGCTACAAAAAAACATTCTATTTTTTACTGGGAAATATCACAATCACAAAATCGTCTACTTCTGGTTGCCTATCTAGGACACTTTTTATCAACATATCATTTGTTAAAGGCCTCACATTTTCATCATCTTCCTCTTCCCACCAGTATTGATCGTTATCGCTATCTTGAAGTACCATTTCATCTTCCAACTCTGAATTCTGCAGAACCTTTCTAACATGTGTCCGCTTTGAAGTCTTTTTTTATTTGCCCTCGTTTGTCAGTTGCAATAAGACTACGAGCAAGCTTCCTTGGCTTTCTTTTATTCTTACGAGGTCTTGCTTTTATCGGTTCTCTAAACTCAAATGGTGTTACAAGTTTACCATCATCTAAAGCAACTGATGTTCTGACTGAGGGATTGGAAGCAGGTTCATCTATTCGCTGATCATCGCAAGTGCTTGTGGAAGCTATTGGCTCGTTAAAATTTTCTTCATTATCAGGATGTTCATTGTCAAGATTATTAATATCGGGATTACAAGAGACTAAAATAAGAGATTATGCCTTTTGTCACATTCACCATAAGGACGGTCGGTCACTGAACTTGGTAAATAGTCTTGTTCCGTAAAGATATCTCGGTTAAACGGAAAGATTCCGGTTTTTCTGAAAGCGTTAATAATATTTATTGGTGTCTAGAGGCTGGAGTTTGTTTGATGTGTGGGAATCAAGTGTAACCACATTCACTCCTGAAGACTTTGCTCGATTCAACGCCTCTAACGATAGGTGCGACTCGTGGTTGTCCATTATTAAAATACTAGGATTTTCCGCCATAATGTGTGATTGTTTAATAAAGTGGTCAATGACATCGACAAATAGTTCACTATTCATCCACTCTGGTGATGCGGCTAATCCCAGTGTTTCTGAAGGGGTTCCTTCGATCATGTGCAATTCAAAATTTTTACGAGAAACCACCATTACGGGCAGCATAGCTTGGCTGACAGCACTAACAATGCAGCAGGTAGTACCGAGCATTCCCTTTTCTTTACTCGTTACTTTCTACAAATTTTTACGACCTTTTGGTCCTAAAACTTTTTGAGGTCTTTGCACCGTGATAGTAGAAGTTTCATCCAGATTAAAAATTCAAGTTTCATCTGCAAAAACTGGGTTTCTCCTTATAAATTTTTCTAAATTGTCGAAAAACTTCTTAACATTAATCTTGTTAAAGGCTGTAGCTCTTGCCAGACTACATGGTTCTGGCTTTCGTAGAGATAGATCCTGATGTCTCTTACGAAAAGATTTAAGCCAATCTATCCCTGCCAAATTATTTGTTTGCTATGAATTTGGCATATTTACATTATTGATTTTAGCCATCTCATATGCTACACGTCGGCATTCAGTTATCAACAGTCCATAAAATAGTAATGCACAGTATTGGAAATATTCCTTTAACGCCGTTTCTTGTTCGTCAGTAAAAATTTTAATAATATTGTAATGAGGCACTAGCCGGATACTCTCAATAGAATAATTGGTAAGTTCTAATTTCTCATAATACCGACGGATCGTCGAAAAAGCTAAGCCGGTGTCTCTGGATACATGGCGAATACTAGTACCATTTATAATAAGATTTAGCGCTCGTTCCATATCTTTTTTGCAGTGTCTGGCAATTTTTCTTTCCAGCAGCTGTTTACGAGGCATACTGGAACAACAAACAGCATTGTAAGTTTAAAAATTGTGATTTACAGTAGTAGGTACACAGTGAATCGTGATTAACTGTTTACTTAAGACCGTTGGTTTACTGTGTACCCCTTTGACTCGATGTAAATAAATAAATTTCAAGGCATTTTCCCCAACACCTTTAAGATGAAAAATTATACAGGTGTGTAGCTTACTAATACTACTTTGCCTTAGCAATATAATAAATAATATATATTTGAAACTATAGCTACCAAACTAACGAAAAACTTACTTTACTGAATACTGATAGAAGCAAAAGAGTATTAAACATAGAACATATTAAGCGATAGAAAAAAACAACAGGTCTATTCGTATTTAAAAATGGTTGCCAACTCACTGTAGCCACCTGATTCCACCGTTATGTTAAACGAAGATTAAAATGACATTGTTAATGTAAAAATGTCACATTAAACTTCGTTTAACACAACGGTGGAATCGGTCCTTCATCCGTTTATAGTTATCGATTTTAAACAAGACGAAGACCAGACATCGTCGAGGAGAAACAGCGAAATTAGTAAAGAATTTTAACTTGATTAAAATGCGTTCTTTCTCTTTCCATTTCCTATAAAAACTAATAGACCTTTTTGAAATCGGTATTCGGTGACTTTTCTTTTGTTTTATTACCTTGAAAATGATATGATTTACATAAAAACAAAAACTGACATTATTTTTGTGAAATAAAAATATATTGTTATTTTCACAATTTCGGCTACTCTTTGTTTCCAAAAAAGAAATACGATGTTTTTCTGTAGATATTAACACATTCTTTAATTGGCTTTTTATTTATTTTATTTTTTAAATATTCTTTAGTATTTTCATAATTTGGGAAACAGTATAGCATTGAAACTTCTATACCTGAAAAATTGGAGTATGCTTTTTATTAATTGTCTGTTTTTTTATCTCACAATGTCTCGATAAGAAGTTATATAGAAAAAGTTAGTATTGAATATCATCCAGACAAAAAACAAAAACATGTTTAAATGAATATATTAAATAAATTATGAGTATTCTTTAACAGAGATATATTTATTTGTATTATGGAAATAATGTTTATGTCAACAAACTTATGTTCAATATTTGTATCAATTTGTAAAGATTACTCTTGATATTAAATTTAAAGGTTTTAAATAAGGACTTACAGATATCACAGTTCAAAATTATTTTTATTGACCATAATACTTTTTTTTGGAATGAAAGCATTAGCCTGTTTTTCAGTTAAGCTCCATAAATCAATTCATATTTTAATCTGAACGCTACTTAAGCGCAGTAAAGTTGCAACAACTAAACAATATAGTGAACTTTTCGAAAATTTCTAAGTTACAATAAAAATCAATTTATATTTAAAATGAAATAAGTTAACTAAAAATTTTGACCGTTAATGAAGTTATAAATAACGTCGTTACAAAGATTCATGTGTAAATTTTTAATATCTATTAATGATAGTTACTCATTTACCTATTACAATATCAATACATAACTTGGCTTTGACACAAAACTTCTAATCCGAATCAAAATCTTGAAACTATTATTTGGGGACTTAAAAGCGTGGTCCACTGGTTGGTGTAGCCTTTTAAAACATTTGGTATAATAATAATTATATATCATCAATTACCACTGCCACTGGTAAAATCTTAAATTTAAAATAGTGTACTATAATAATAAGACATTAATATTATCTTAAATGGACCGCCTACTACCATTTTTTAGAAATAAATAAAACGTAATTCTTAAATTAATAAAACTATTCAAAATAATTTAAGATTCCTTGCGTTATGTTAATAAACATTAAACAAAATTTTTAACAAATTATTTAGTATTCTGCCCCGTACTTCCATGTCTCTATTAGCTTCGCTGTCAACAAGTTCTGGAAAGGCATATTGCATATAAAAATTTTTAATTTTATTTTGTATCTTTTCTTTCCAAACGCTGTCATTATGAGATATTTTCTCCACTTTTATTCCTCCAGAAGTCCAAAAGCACAAAAGTACAAAATGCAAAAATCCATTTGTGTTATGTGCAGTTAGCCCTGAATTTTAAAATACCAATGGTGGTTCTCCTTAATGGTATTGTCCTTTTTCCAAAAAGTTATTTCTCTACTGCATATTTCTTCTTCTACAGTCAGCACTTCAGTTCCATATGGACATTTTAACTCTATCAGAGAGTTTTTTTTTTCTAATTCCATCCAGACTGGCAGCAACATAAACAAATTCGAATTCAATAAAATGTCCACATTTAAAAACTTTAACTTGCAAATAAATTTCTAAATCTTATCTTGCTCTGAATTTATGGTCCATGCCATATCGGGTGGCTTTAGAAATAAATAAAAGATTTTAGGAGATTTTTTACAAATTTCTCCAAATTTTCAAGCAGTGACTTGTTTCCGTCTTTTATTGCGCCACAATGCACAATCACAATCGTTTTTTCTGATTTATAGATATTGGCTAACTTTTTAGAAAATGTTCTCTTGCAACGCGCCTCAAAGGGTGCGACAGATCAAAACCATGCGCGAAAGCAAGAAAAAATATTTTCCTACGACCACTTAGGAAAGTGACACATATCACACTATATAGTCCTATGGAAAGTGCCCTATATCACACGCGTATGAATAAGAATTTACTTTCCACCCGAGTGAGAATATGTTACTTTCCGCAGTAGTTGTCACAAAATGTCGAACACATTATTTCTATTTTGATCTATGTAATGTCCATATTAATACTAAAATCGATATGATTGTTAAATTATTGAAATTGTTGTAAATTACATCCTAGATATTTATCTTTAACAATTATTATTAAAATAATTTTAAAATAATGTTTGCTCTTTATTCTGGTTAAATACATAACCGTTTGGATCATTCAATTGACATAAAGGTGTTAGCTATTAGCTCAGGTGGTTAGGACGTCGAACTTATCAACTTTGCCATTTTTCGACCGTGTTCAAATCCTGGCGGGGCAGAATTTTGTTTTTGTTTTTTTTTTTATTTTTTTTAGTTTTTTTTTTGTTTAGAAAATATGAAAATTGAATAAATACGATTATTGTTGATTATTTTTTTAAATATTTTTTAATTAATATAGTAATAATAACATTGGTTTTACATTTTTTTGATGACATTATTTTGTGGTCGTAGGAAAAATATTGTACATCACTTGTGTGAAAAGTGATTTTCCACACTCGTGTGATAGTCGCACTCGGCTTGCGCCTCGTGCGACAATATTTCCCACTCGTATGAAAAATGTCACTTTCCACACTCGTAATGTAATATACTATTACATTACTTTAACGGTTGAAGAGATATTAACATGCTGGAATTAATAATTATTGTTGACTCAAAGAGGTATTCATTAAACAAAAACATATTTATAATTCACATCTCAGTGCATACCTTGCAATTTCGGATATATATTTTTTTAATAAATAAATGATAAAATTAATTTAATATAAATGAGCGAAATTACTGTATGTAAAAAACAACAACATGAATTCAAATCACTAACGTACTGTTTATCACTAAATAGTAGAAAAAGATATATATTTTGTTGGTGTCACCACAGCTTATATTGTCACCATCTAGACGAAAAAGCTTCTAACTTATTTCTATTTTTCTTATAATAAACATTTAAAGCTACTGTAGGCAAAAATTAAATATATTGTTCTCTTCTAGCATTTTTTAACAGTTCTATTTTTTCTTAGATTTTTTTCAAAAGAGACTAATTCATATTTTTAAAGTGACTCCAGAGAAGTATGGGCTAAGCCTTTACTGTACTTACATAAAATTTCTTTTAGTAAAATTAAAAAATAATCCGTAAAATTGGTGTACTATGAAACCCTTGCATATAATATATACCATTCTTAGTATTACAGAAATAAATTACGTAAAAAATAAGGTGTAAAAATACGTAAAATTTATTCATCCCTCGTAAAACATCAGTAAAATATATTATAAATTGTTTTCATTCACAAATATTAATTTCTTAAAAATCTAACAGAGGTGCCACTTTCCGGACGAAAAATTTTTGCAATGTAAGGGTTTCGTAGTACCCCACTTTTAAAGTTTATTTTTTACTATTTTTTAAAGAAAAAAATATGCACGTATAGGTAAAGGTTAAGTCTATGCTCCTCTGGAACCACTTTTTCAACATTCAATTTAGTTTTTTTCTAAAAAAAAATTAAGAAAATGGGTAAAAAAAGTCGAGATTTGTATTTTTAAAAAAAAAATAGTTTTAAATTTTAAAAAAGTGTCTCCATAGGAGCATAGATTTATCCTTTTTCTACATGTATATATTTTTTTCTTTCAGAATAAGTCAAAAATAAACTTTAAAAGTGGGGTACTACGAAACCCTTGCATGCTCCGCTCTACGGCCAAGTAAATACTCCTTAGAGTCTTTTCTCATATAAAAAGTTTACCATTTCAAATTCCTTAAAATTTAGTTTCTCTCTAACTGGTTTTGGATATGCCACCCCATCCCATATGTAATTCAACTAATTTATTTTTTATTTAATATTAAATATAGAACATATTTGTTTAAATTTATATAGTATGCAATGCAGTTTCTTCAAGACATATTTGATGTGTTAATCCCATCTTAAGATATGATCTAATATAATTCCAAATTATTTTATTTTTAATAGAGGTGTAATGGTAAACGTATTGGTAAAAAAAGTTTTAATCCGGAATAGAAATAAATTACTTATAATTCGTTTCTTAAAGTTTAAAGAGAACAGCCTATTATCATATCACATCTTTATTTTTTCTAAGTCTTGTTCTAATTTCATCTTTAGAGTACCACTTGCTATCTTCACAAAACAATACCGTGTCGCCAGCAAAACTGATTATTTTACAATTTGTGTCTACCAGAAATAGATTATTTAAATATTTACCTATACATATTTAAAAGAATAAGCCCTTGTACCGTCCCTTGTAGTTCTCCATATGCAAGAGATTTTTTTTCTTTTCTTCAAATGTCACCAATTTATATTTTTAGTGTCTATAAATAAATAACTTTGACGAGTTTATATAATTAGCGTAGTAACACGAAACTCAAGACATTGTATATTGTCAAGACCCTTTCACCAAAATATTTTAATATTAGCAATATTAACGCACCTTTTCCCTTTTTAATATTCATTCTTCAGTTACCAAAACACCAAATAAAAAAATTCTATAAACATCCTTAAACATTAGTATTCACCGCATACAAACTTTCAATTGTCAAGCTATTAAAGCCAATGGCACAGAAATTAATCGTCCAGTCAGTTGATACCATTAATCCACAATAAACAATGACCACAAAATTGAAAATTACGATAATTTTGATTTGTGCCGCAATCGTGGTTAGTGTGGCTGGCGATGAAACCACTTCAAGACCATCTTTTTGGAGAGGCACAGTTTTGGATTCTCATATTGAGAAGATAAAAGCGGCTTGTGATAAAGAAGATACGATTGCTTGCTTTCAGTACAAAGCTTTTAAATTCTTGGACAGTGTTTTCAGGAAGGACTATTTTCAAGTGAGTTTAAATTATTAACCCATTTGTAATAATAATAATAAAAAAAATAACAGCAAGTTTAGTAAAAAGTGAGGATATAATTTAGACTTTAATTGGTTAAAGTTTTGTCTATATCAGGATTAAGTCAAAATGGCTAAAGTAAAGTCTTATTTAGGGCGGGTTGTACTAATAATGCTGTAAACTCAGTCTAGATAACAGGAGTTTAATTTTGAACTAGTTATATTCAAAGTAAAATGTTATTTTTAAAATAATACAAAGAGGTTCACAGTTTAAACTAAGTTAATATTTTAACTGCCTATTATATTTAGAAGTAAGTAAGGACTTGTAATATTGATGGTATTCTTCAAGGATAATATTACGTTTATTAACAGTTAATCGGTTTGTGTCTTCATTTCGATTTTAAGATGTATATTTATTTGTGTTTTCATTGATCAGGATTAAGTTTGCTCCAACGCCCCCTTTTTAAATAACTTTTCTGGGGTGTTTTCATTGTTTGTTGTTAATGTATTTACATCTATTCCTAAAAACTGAAAACGAACTATGTTTTTTTTCTACTACAGTTCGTAAAGTTTACGCACTAGCGTATAGTATAACTATTATAGCTTGTATCGTCTTCTAAAAATGCATGCAAATACACTAATTATTAAAAAAGTAAATCATCTATATCTAAAACAAATAAAAAAAAAATAAAATCTTATTTTGGCAGTATAGAAACACGCAAAGTAAAATTAAAATAATCTTTAAACCTTACCGCGTTTAATAAAATTATCTGGTTCTGTCAGAACATAGTTTAGATACTATTTGTGCTAGTGAAGCTAGAATATTGTTAAAAATTGAAAACTATAATGAGAGAATTAAAACTTTGGAATTTGAACATAATGGAGTAAAAAGAACCATAGAAAAATTAGAAAGAACTTGAAAAAAGATAAATTTTGTGATTTTCAGTATAAATTTATCACCGGAAGAGGTTTTAGTTCAAAATATATGCCATAAGCTTAATACAATACTAGAAACTAATCTCAACAGCAGTGTTATTAGTGATTTATATTTACTGGGAGGCAATACAAGAAAAGAACTAATAAAATTAGAACTTTTATCCCGTTTAAACCAAAAGGCACCAATATTATAATTACCCCTGATTTAACTAAGCTGCAACAGAAGAAATAAAATATTAAGAAAACATCTTAACGAAGTATGAAATTCAAGTAGTGATAGGTGTTATATAAAGGGCGAAAAACTTTATAGAACCAATAAAGTTTACACAGTTGAAGATATTGTCGCAACTGAAGAACCAATCAGTTTTTACAAGGCCCTAGTAACCCACCAACTTCTTTCCTTGATGCATCATTACAATCTATTGCAACTGAAGCAGTTGCAGAGAACAACAAGAACGGAAGCAGCAACCAAAATATTCAAAAAGAAGTAGACCTACAAAAAAAACACTAAAAGAAAGCAAACCAACAACAGAACCCAAATTAAATTTAAAAATATACAAAGGAACCAGGTCAGGCTCTGTTACTAAATAAATTGTTTAATGTCGTTCAACACTGCACATATTAATTGTCAATCTTTAGTCCCACACTTCAATGATTTTTGTCACTTAATTCAAAATGAAGGTTTTTATATTGTAGGAGTACCAGAGACATGGTAAAAGCATAACATATGTAGTAACATAGTAAATCTAAATGGTTTTTCTTTCATTAGACAGGACCGGCACACTAAAAGAGGTGGAGGGGTAGGTATTTACATAAAAAATAGTTTTCATTACAAAGTTATACTTAGTGAATGTTTTGAATTTCTCGAATATATTTTAATAGAAATTAAACTTAATAAATTCAATTTAGTAGTAGGAACTTTTTACAGACCAAATACTGACAAAAATGCATTTTTGACTATTTTTGAAAGACATTTTGTGTCTTGTAAACTCGATTTTAATTTACCAAGTATACAAAATCATATTAATGAAAAAAGGTGCTCAATGAAAGATATAAAGTTATAATTTTAGTGACTCTTATAGGAGAGATATATAGTTCAACCTAGCTTTGTTTTCGATGAGGTAATTATTTTATATCTAGTATTAAACGAATGATTAACTTTTGTTATTAATATGTTGAACAACTCTCATCTAATCTTTTAGATGACTGAAAAAGTAAATCACAAAAAACATTTGTTTTTTTTTTAAGTAAAAATTTTAAAAACAATTTTTAAATAACATTTAAGTACCCATATCATGAGTTCCTCATAGACACTAATAGCGATAGTTTAAATATGATTGCAAACGACAGAAATATGAAGTTTTCAAAAGTTCTGAATCTTAAAAGATTTTAAATACTTAGACCTAATTTATTTATCACATATTTGGTTTGTAAATCCCATTTTAGATGTTGGTTCAATACAAACCCTAAATTTTTAATTTGATCCATGTCAAGTATGAAAAAATTATTTTTTCTACTACTGTGCTTAAAGTACACACTTTACACACTTCACGGAGTGCGTAAAGTTGTACTTTTTGTCACTAGTGCCTAAAGTAAAATATTTCTTTATTTTTTTCACTTGTGTGAAAAGGGCATCAACTAGCTAGGTTTACTTTACACACTAGTGAATAAAAAGTAACTTTTATATTTCTAATTTTAGTGGATGTGTACGGCAGTCGAAAAAATATTGTATGCAACTCGTGTGTCAAGCCTACGGCTCGTGCGACAAAATACTTGTTGCATAAGTAACTATTTTTTATACGAATTGATGTAAAAGTTAGCAAATATATGAAGCAAAAAACATATATTTTAATTTAAACCATATTTTGTAATTATCTTTCTACTAGAGTTTTTATTTTATTACAAATGTTATCCGTATACAGGATGTACTAATAAAAACTTCCAGGCCGGATATTTTGGTAAAAAATAGAGATATTTTAATTCTGTAAAATTCAGTTTACAGAGCACTAAGAGAGATATAAATTTATTTTAAATGGGTCAATATGTAGATGGCGTTGCGCTCAATATTTTGTTTTAGATGGGAGGATCTTTCTTATGTAGAGCATCTTGTAAAAATGCATTTTAAAGCAGATTTTTTTAATGAACTAATTCGATAAATCAAACCATTTTCGATATACAGAGTGGACCACTCAAAACCGTTCCACGCTGTTATTTGGCATTATTCATTGGATTTAAAGAACATATTAAAACAGGTTGATTTGTATTCCAAATTGAACAATACAGACATCTGTCATGTGTCAACTCACTCTTTGACGCCACCGTAACAAAATGTGAAATAGTACATTAAATAATATTCTTTGTTCAACGATGTGCCTCTGTGTCGATTTTGATATTAATTCTAAAAGATACAGTGACATTATCAAAAAAAAAGAAAAATAAAAAAATTAACTTTTAACGCCCTGTATCTTATGTCACTGCACTATTTTATTAAGGTATATTTGGTCCTATCGCCATATTTTGGTTCAAATGACCTGCCCTTACCCTATGTCCCAATAATTATGAATCACCCTTTATATTGACATATTTATAATCAATTTAAATATCTCTTAATGCTCTGTAAACTGGCTTTGACATAATTAAAATATCTCTATTTCTTACCAAAATATCCCGCCTAAAGGTTTTTATTGGTACACCCTGTATATAATTACTGAATCGTCGGTAAAACTCGAAAGTTATGTTTCGTACTTTTAAAATTAAGTTCCAACAAACCGCTTATATACAGGCAAAATAGTAGGAGGCCTATTACAATACCATAAGGGACTCCGTATTTAATTTTCTTTAATGTACTCTTTTTGTCTTTCAACTGAACACACTGAAGTCGATTTTCTAAAAATTACAAATCAAGTATTTTTGGTCTGATGTCATAATAATTTAGCTTATTCAACAAGGTTTTGTAACAGTATCAAATGCTTTGGCCAAGTCGATAAATATACATAGAGCAGCTTTTGTTTCATCCATCGCATTGTATAAAATGCTTGTTAAATCGCATATTTCATGCTCTGTAGATTTACCATATCCAAAACTATATTGCCTCTTGGAAATAGTATTACATATAATTTTGGAAATATGAAAATTAAACATCCCCAATTTTTCCTACAAACTTATAAAAATTATTCTCTTATATCCTCAAAAACAAAAACAATTGAATTATTATTATTTTTTTAAAAATATCAACAACGAAACTCTATTTAGTGATTAATGATTTTTTTATTGTTAATTTTTGCAATAAATTTAAACACGACAGCATTTTTTTAATAGAGAATAAACTTTCAAAGAAGGTGTCACAAGCCCCTACTTGTTAATAATAAATTTCTCTTAAAGAGGGTTGGAGATAGGGGTCAATTTTTTTACGTTGCAGGATCTTTCATAAATATGCACAGACATTGAGCTACTGAATTTATTATATTTGTTCGTTATGCGCAAAAATCCACAAATTATAATAAACGTACCGAGCGTCAAGTTTCTGCCATTCATGCTGCTTGGGATAAAGACTGTCCTGTTTATAAACTTGCTTTAGATAAACACAAATCTAATACACTTTTTCCACCATAGCAACTATCGATAATCAGAAACACTGATGATGTTCTAATTAAAAACATACCTGTCGCCAATACGCTACTTTGTTACTGTCAGAATTTAAGGGGAATTCAGACAAAGTATAATACATCAGTGGCATGTCCATTTGATATTTATGCATTTACTAAGACGTGGCTTAATGGCGAGCTGCTAAATTTAAATTATTATGATGTTTTTCGTTCTGATAGAAAGTATACTCTTACGAATAACACAAGGGGTGGAGGCGTCCTATAAGCAACTAAACATATCTTAATGCGTCTCTCTTAGATCATAATTCTTCAGTTGGTTTATTTAAAGAAATACCTAATATTGATATAATTGCTATAAAATTAAAGCTAGTTTCTAAAAATATGAATATTTTTAAATTTATTCAATCTATAATAAAATCATTTTAATAGTAGAAGACTTTAACATTCCAGAATAAACTTGTTCCATCAAGGGTATTACCTTAGGAGGTAGAAAATCGCAATCATTAATAAATTTTATAAATCTTAATCTCAGTATCACAGTATAATCAGTGTGTCAACTTTTATAATAGAATCCTAGATCTTGTACTTTCTAATAATAGTTGTAGTGTTTCAAAATCTATCGAGTCACTAGATCTAGGAAAATATTACCATCCAGCTCTAACAATTGAGTTTACAAAATTCTTGTCCTTCAGCTTCTTCAACTTCTACTGCTGGGTACAACTTAAAAAAATGCAATTTACACTCGTTGTATCTTGACTTGGCCTTCGCCGATTGGTCAATACTTGAACATTCTGACAATGTTAATACAGCTGTTGATTTATTCCATGATTTATTCTATGATTTATTAAACGACACGTTCCATAGGAATATTCCACTCAAAAAAGTAACCAAACGTCATTATCCTACTTGGTTTAATGGTTATTTTATTGCCCTTATCCAAAAAAAGTCCAAGGACTCGAAAAAATATCGAAAGAGCCGTAATGAAGCTGATTATGTCAATTCTAAAAATATCAGAGCGTTAGTTAAAGAGCAAACAACATTACATTATCAACCGAATCAGATATCGCTCTCGACCCTTCCAAATTTTGGTCTTTCATAAAATCTAAAAATGGCGAATCATCAATTCCCCAAGACATAAATTTATATGATACGGACTATAATGGACCGCAAGAAGTCATCAATGGTTTTGCTGATTTCTTCTCAAAAAATTTTGTTTCGTCGACTTCATATTCCACTTCAAACTCATTAACAAATAACAATGTAATACGAGGTAAGCGCTAATAATTCCCGGCCTCACAATGAAGGAGGCCTTAACCTCAATGCACTTCTTACAACGTTTAATTAACAATTTAATCCCTTTAAAAAAATATTCTTTGGGTTTATCCTCAAAATGGGTCAAAACAGCTTCTTGTAACTCAAAATCGTCCCAAATACGTCGCCCGCGAAGGTCCTTTTTCAAATAACTAAACAAATAATAATCGCTGGGAGCCATATCTGGACTATAAGGAGGGTGATCTATATTTTGAAACCCGCAATCTAGGATGGCAGCTTGTGTAACGCCAGCAGTATGAACGGGCGCATTGTCGTGCAACAACCGCACGCCTTGGTTAATTTTCCTCGACGTTTTTCCCGAATACATTCCCGCAACTTATGAAGTAATGCGGCGTAATATGTGCCATTAACGGTGGTATTTGTGTCTTTAAAATCAATCAGAAGGATTCCTTCACAATCCCAAAAGATCGTAGCCATCACCTTTTTCATTGATTGGCAGACTAAATTTTCGTGGGGGAGCTTCACCCTTACGGCGCCTCTCCATTGATTCCCTTTTCGATAGAGGATCATAATAAAGAACCATAGTTTCATCTCCAGTGACTATTGTTTCCAACACGGGGGATCATCTCCACACAGTTTTAAAAACGATCGAGCACACTAGACACAACGTTGCTTCTGAATCGCCGAAAGGTATTTGGGCACTCATCTTGCACTAACTGTATGCATACCCAAATGATCATGGAGAATTCGGCGAACAGTGGTATCAGAAAGCTTGGTCATTTCTGCCATTTCCTTGACCCCGGTCACTTAGCACCAGGTTTTCCACAAGGACCACTTTATCCTCCGTTATCACCTCCACTGGCCGTCTAGGTCTTTAGTCATCTTCAAGGGATTCCTGACCCATGCGAAAACGTTTTGCCCATTCCTTCACTACCGAATAGGAAGGGGAACTTTGGTCATATACGCCATTGAGTCTTTCTTTAATAATTTTAGGTGTAAGCCCTTCTTTTGTTAAAAATTTAATAACCGCTCTGTACTCAATTTTCGTCACCTGAGACATCTTCGGAGATACTTTAGTTCAAATTGCTGACAATTAAAAACTATTTGACGTAAGTCGCTTATTTTGTTACCACAGCCTACTAAGGTTTGTAGTCATAAAATGTTAAACTTTTATCCTGATATTATTGGCGCTTACCTCGTATATATAAAAAAAAAATTACAGAAAAAGAAATACAGATCGCCGCAAAAAAATTAAAACCTAAGATGACCAATGATCAAGACTTAATTCCAGCTTTCTTAGTAAAAGATTGTGCATCATCATTTTGTAAACCCTTATCTGTGATTTTTAATTTGATGCCTAAATCTTAAAAGTTTCCTAGTCTCTGGAAATTATCCAGAATCTGTCCCGTATTTAAAAAAAGGAAATAAAAATGATATCGCTAACTATCAGCTGATAGCCATATTGTCTAACTTTGCTAAGCTATTTGAAATTGTAATTTACGACTATTTATCACATCATGTCAATTTACTTATTATCCCAGAATAACATGGTTTAATTACTGGACGATCAACAGTTTCCAATTTATTCTACAGAACGCAATATATATGCGATGCACTAGACAAAAGAGGTCAGGTAGATGTAATCTACACTGACTTCTCTAAAGCCTTCGATAAATTAGATCATGGATCTAGTTATTCTCTTTTATTCTTACCTCTCTGAAATAACTCAATATGTTCAAATGTTGGGCCACAAATCTCACATTTTTCTTTAAACGTCATGTGTACCACAAGGCTCCGTATTAGGACCATTACTGTTTATAATTTTTATGAACGATGTTGCAAAAAAATTAAATGCCAAATATCTACTATATGCAGATGATATGAAGCTATTCTGTGAAATAAATACAATGACCGACTGTTTGAATAAATAAATAAATATTTGGCTATAATACTCTTTATAAAGTTCCGACTCTAAAGCTATATTAATTCGTTTTTTTGTTGCTGTCACCTGTATTTCATGTGTTTTTTTTTCCTTTCACCATGGTTAATATTTTCCTTTTTATTATTACAGTGCTTCCATCTCTAGCATTATCTGACGGATGTATGTTTAGTACTATAGATCTTATATCCTCTAAATTAATAACTTGTTTTGTTAAATGTTGTTCTGATATTAGTGAATTATTCGTATTTTTATTCGGTATAATTATCTTTTTATTCTTTTATTTATGTATTATAACCTACATATTTTTCTACCATAATTTAATTCATCCATTCCTAATTTTAATAATTATATTCTTACTTGTATTTTAATTAGAATACTAGCACACAGACACTAACATTTCATATTATCTCCTTTTCAAATATACAAAATCTAATAAATACGTTTAATAATGGTTAAAATTTTGCAAGAATGAAAATAACTCCTAACCGATATAATTCTCTGTTTTCAGGTAGGTGACAATGTTGAAGTCACACGCAACAATTATTCGTCCAATGAAGTATCTGCTAGATCCGATGATAATTTGGAAAGTGGAGTCGAAGAATTTATTAAAACACATGATGTCAAGTTCAGTGTTCCAGTAATTGGTGAAGTTACTGTAGATTCTACAGCTTTGGACAACGAAGAAATTGGACTTAAATGGAAATTTGGGTCTAGTAGCTCACTTGAAGGCAGATGTAAGTAATACAGTACTTCACATGAAAAAATGCAGACAGAGGATGACAATTCTTTTCTTTTTTACTTTAGTTGCTTAAGATCGTCCACTATTTTGATTTTCCACATTTTTTCGGTGACCTCTTTCTTTTTTCTCTATCAAATCTCATACAAATGCTATTTGTGTAAGTATGTTTCTCTGTAGCCATTCTTTGTAGCCTAGTTACCTTTTACCAATCTGCTTATTCATTTTGTTAAAACGTACGCCCACGAAACCTTTTCAATTTATCTTCTTCTGTTATTCTTAATATCTTCGAAGTCTTTCCACATAGTATTGGGTTTTATAATTATCTGCCAATAAAAATGTCTTTGTACTAATTGATGCTACAAGTATTTCTTAAGAAGTAAGCGGTGGTCCAAGCTTACTGTTGATAACGTCTCTCTGGTGGTTAAATTGTTCGTGTAGTAGCGGCCTTTAATGGCAGACAAAACGTACTTTGAAAATATTTTCCTTTTTTGTATTTTCTTTACTTATTTGTAGTATCGTCCCTTGATCTATGGATGACTGCTCCTCACAAATGATTCTATTAAGACTTTTCTTCTATTTTTAGGAACTTAATTAACTAACTTTTTTTATTCAACCTTTATTTGTAAATTAGAAATGTGTCATTTGAGTTGTTTTTCGCCTTTGATGGATTAAAAGGTTTCTAAACACTACCTACATCAAATTTTGAACCAATGCACATCATTATTTAAAAAAGTGTGATAACAAACCTTGATAAAATCGATGTATTATCTTAATTAAATGTTTCTGTTACAGCCAAGAAGAAGTCAAAAATCAAGAAGATCCTCAGCCCAATTTTGATCTTTATCTTGCTCAAGGCAATCACCTTAGTACCATTCGCAATTGGTATCTTGGGTCTAAAGGCATGGAATGGTCTTCAATTAGCATTCATCTCTTTCATAATATCCTCCGGATTAGCGGTATTCCAGTTATGTCAAAAATTGGCAGCAGATCATGCCCATTCACACGCTCACATAGAAACCGTTAGTTCACCTCATTGGGCTAGAAGTTTGGATGGGGCACAGCAGATGGCGTATTCAGCGTATACCAAATAGACAATTGTAATTTTTAAGTAAATAAAATAATTTATTGTAAGAGGCATTTTTTATTTATTTGAAATATGTTACTAAGAATGTTTTAATGATAAATAAATATTGGGACATTCATCGTATTCTGCAGCTTTGACTCTGGACAAATATTTTTTAAATTAATTAAAATATAGTATTTTTCAAAGGTTGATTAATCTATTGATATCTGCATCTGTATCTGCAACGTGTGGAGGGTGGTTTACGTCCCGACACTTAGGCCTCATGCTACTTGAAATTCACCAGAAGCTTTTTAACGTTTATGGTGAAGGTGTAATGACTGATAGTAATGTGCATAAATGGTGTAGGCATTTCAGTGAAGGGAAGACAAATGGTCACAATGAAGAATGATGTTGCAGCAATAACAAAATGCAACTAGACAATTTATACTAGGAAGTACTGGATCATTCGCCTTACAGCCCGGACTTGGCACCATCAGACTCTAATCTCTTTCCAAAACTTAACGAATTTCTCGGTGAAAAGCGTTTAAACAATGATAACATTCTTAAAGAAACAGCTACGAACTGGTTTAATGGTCAGGCAGCAGAGTTTTTTGATGAAGGGATTCAAAAGTTGGTGCCACGCCTTGACAAATGCTTGAAATGTCCTGACAACTACCCTATAATATCCAAAATTTTCGAAACAGTCCTAAAAAATAAACTCTCATCCTATCTTGAGAGCAATTTCATCATCTGTAACTCCCAATATGGATTTCGTCAGAATAAATTAACTACGAAAGCAATGTTGGCTCTGATAGAAACAGTAGTTGATTCTATAGAGGACGGATTTAACACTCAAGCAATCATGTGTGATCTATCTAAAGCTTTCGACTGTGTAAAAACTAACCTTTTGTTGCAAAAAATTGAGTATTATGGGATTAGAGACAATGGCCTTAAAATCTTACAGTCATGCCTTACGAACAGAAAGCAATATGTTAGTATAGAAGCTAATAATTTAAGTGCACTACTTGTTCAAAATGGTGTACCGTAGGGATCTGTTCTGGGGCCAATTTTTTTTATCCTTTATATCAAAGACCTACTTAAAGCCATAGATACAGGTATCAGCCTCCTTTTGTGGACGATTTCACCATATCAGACCAACAATTCTATTTTTTGTTTCAAATTTTTTTGCTGGGGAAATTTTATACTGAGGAGATGGCTTTTTAGTCATACTTCTTAAATAATTGGCACTAATCTTTCATCTTTAATTAGTTTCATATGGAACACCTGTATAATAAAATGAAGAGGATCTATATTTTTCATGATATTTGTTTTGGTTTGCGCATTTGATTAATCTGTAGCAATGAGTTAATGACCACCATAGATTTACAGTAATGAATGGGATGTACCACAAAAACTACAAAAAAATAAAACCAGAATATTTTTAGTTGTTTAGATTGGCCTCTTAGGTCTCGTAATTACAATCAATCGAACTATTTGAAATATTTTCTAAATAACACTTATATTAATTAATTACAATATTATTTTTACTCGATATTGAAGGTGTATTTATGGAGATTTACTTATCAAAAAAATCACTCTTAATGTAATAAAAAAAAACAACAAAAAATTTATCAAAATACCTAGTATCACAAAAATACATACATGTTGTTATTATCAGTTACAAAATATTTTCATTTTAAATGTATTTTCACCATAAACAAACAAAGAAAAATAAATTTAACATAACATATAAGCAACAAGCGGTGCTTTCAGCAAATCTTGTTCTACTCTAGTTAGTTAAATACATAACATTTACTAACTTCCTTTTGGATTTAAATTTTTTTTAAACATATTTTATATTTACAAATTTTTTTTATTCCGCCAAAGAAATTTTCAACAAACGATTTTATAGAAAACTAATTTCTCTAAAAGCTTCCAAAGACATAGGAGGTTGGAGTGCACAGCTTACGACTGGATTTCTAAAAAAAAAAGACAATTTTAATACTTGCAAATGTAGGTATGTATCTCGATGAGAGATTTTTAAAATAAAGACTACATGTTATTAAAAGTTGGTTGTTGGCACACTTTGTAGTGGATATTTAAAGATATTTAGAGATATTTAGAGATATTTAGAGATATTTAGAGATATTTAGAGATATTTAGAGATATTTAGAGATATTTAGAGATATTTAAAAATATTTAGAGATATTTAGAGATATTTAGAGATATTTAGAGATATTTAGAGATATTTAGAGATATTTAGAGATATTTAGAGATATTTAGAGATATTTAGAGATATTTAGAGATATTTAGAGATATTTAGAGATATTTAGAGATATTTAGAGATATTTAGAGATATTTAGAGATATTTAGAGATATTTAGAGATATTTAGAGATATTTAGAGATATTTAGAGATATTTAGAGATATTTAGAGATATTTAGAGATATTTAGAGATATTTAGAGATATTTAGAGATATTTAGAGATATTTAGAGATATTTAGAGATATTTAGAGATATTTAGAGATATTTAGAGATATTTAGAGATATTTAGAGATATTTAGAGATATTTAGAGATATTTAGAGATATTTAGAGATATTTAGAGATATTTAGAGATATTTAGAGATATTTAGAGATATTTAGAGATATTTAGAGATAGAGATATAGCTGTAACGAAATAATTTCTTTATGTAATTAACATGTGATCCACAAAAAATTATTAAGTTGAGACTTATGAAGAATTTTTTATATAACACGTAGGGCATAGAATATTTACTACTGGACCAGAGGAAAAATTGCTCAAATACGTTGAGGTGCAAGGTGCAAGAGAAGCACTGTCTACAAATATTTGACAGTCAATTTGATGGTTACATTTCGGTTCTATCTTAGAACTAAATAAACAACTGTATATAAGTCAGGTATGAACTAAACTTAGTCTGGTTAGTATAATTTGATCACTACGTTTTGACGGGAGTATTGACCTTTTAAATTATATTTCACTAAGTCGTCGGGCCCCAACTTCATCTTCTTGTGATGATGAAGTCATTATATCCACTCTTGTTGTACAATAGTAGTTTGTGCAACAAGAGTGGATATGATGGCCATATCTCACGAAGACGAAATTTGAGCCCGACGCCGTAGGCGAAGTGCTCAATTGTCTGAGTGCGATGTGAACAATCCACTCGAATTGTACAGTATATTTTTTCTACGACCCTCTAACGAAAATTTACAAATAAAAAAAATATTTTAGGTTATTAAGACAAATTAACTAATTTTAAAATATATGTCATTTTGAATAATTTTTAAAATAAAATAAACTAAAAAGAAGAAAAAAGTATAATAGGTAATTATTATACAGAGTATCCTAAATCTCATCTACTAAACGGAAATCTCAGTTGCTGTAAAATTGATTTCTCTATTGTAATCATAAGAGGCTGAAATGAGGGTCAAACAGATATTTTCGATTATAATTTTTTATCTTCAGAATTATTAACATTTTTTTGTCATATTTGTAAACTGTAAGGTATTTTCCAAAAATAATATATTCTTGTTTGAAATCACATGACGTACCGTTTTCGAGAAATTCTAATTTCAAATTTTTGCTGTTTTTTTGCGATTAAGAAATTAATTATTTTATTTTACTTCTGTTATTTGTCATAAACATGATTGGGAAACAAAACCAAACAAATTTAATTTACAAATTGACGTATTGGCATTTGGCAACACCGTGGGCAACCAAGTTGCGGTTGGGACGTAGACTCAGTATATCCATGTGGGTGTAGAAAAACTACTATTATATCACAACTCAATAACAATTGAACTGGTTTTGCACTTTAATTATTTACAGCCTTTTTTGCCAGTTTCTGATTGTTCCCACTTATTCCTTTGTGATTTTTAAATATAATATCTGTTCCACCTAGCTGAACCAATGGAGTTTTTTTCTAAGATAATAATGTGAAAATAAGAAAGTTTTAAAAAAGAAATTGGCGAAAATTAAAGCTTGGTTTACTTCGAATAGATTGGTTGAGAAAAAAAGAAGATTCTAAGGGAATCTAGATAAAGATGTAATAACAACAACTTCTGTTCTTTTAGCTTTGAAGAATAGTAAAAATTTGTTGGTATCCATTAAATTTGCAGAACAATATTTATCAAATGCGGTGAAGCATGAGATATAGGATTAATTATTTGCTAAGTAGATGTAAACTTAAGGAGATTAGTTAGATGTTCAGGAATAGAGTAATTGAATAACCACTGAAAACCTACTTCAATCATTGGTATACAATTTTCTTAGTTTAACTATTACTCTTTCATCTAGCATGACAAGAGTTCATCATGCCTTCAACCGACAAGAGAGTATATCTTTATAATAAAAGCAGCTTCAAAACTAAAAAGAGTTGATACCATATAGCTATGACAGTGGAATTTGTAAGTTTGACTGTCTTATCTATATTTTTTCCTTGTAGTTCTTGGGTTTTTAGGTGTTGGTTGAGGAATGAAACTCGTGTATGTATGTAAAGCTTTCGGCACTAATCAGTACCTTCTTCAGTCGAAAAAAGGGGATAACAACACCCATACAATCTCAACGGATATTACAGCACCAAAAACGGACATGACAAGGATAATAAAAATTAATTATTTAATAATAATAAAAAAAGGATTTCAAACACACCCCAACGTGTACTAAAGGTAAGCCAAAAATATAATTTAATAAAAATTTAATGTGACCTGTAAAAAAACCAACAAATTATTGTTTCTTGTAGAACAATTTTGATATTGCAAAAATAATAAAGTACAGATTTAAAAAAAAAAACTACTGAAGAAGGCACTAATCAGTGCCGAAAGCTTTACCCACATACACGAGTTTCATTCTTCAACCAACACCTAAAAACCCAAGAACAAGGAAAAAAATATAATTTAAGGTGTAAGAAAAAAAAACTATAGAAAAGAAGATTTCCTTTTATAAAGGACCAATATGTCGTATCTATATATGTCTCGGTCGTTTAATTAGTAGAGGAGTTAAGTCCTCAA